TTATAGAACTTCTATAAACTGTGTAAATCAGCTAATTTTAATTTGAACGTTCATTCATTAGTATAAATGAGCAAGTGCCTAAATGAGACAGTGTGAATGTACTATTAGTTAAGAATAAATAATAAAAAATTACACCAAAAATGTTGTTTTTTTTTTGTTTTTTATTTTATACACTTAATTAACAAAAAGTTATTCATAGAATGTTTCAATGTTAAGGTTTTAATGGCAACAATTCTTTTCTACTCTCAAGTTAGTGAATCCTTATTAAGCTTCAAATACACGGTAATTGCACTAAAATGAAACGTTACTCTTTACTTCAACAACTTGAAAGATAAACGTAAGTACAATTACTGCAATTATGAAGATTTTTTAAACTGTAATTTGTGGCAAGAACAGTTATTCATTACCTAAAGGACGGCGAATAGAAGGGAGTGAACCAAAAAATACATTTGACCAGTTACCATAAAAACCAAGCAATAAAAAGGATTCAGAACAACTGCAGAAATAAAATTTTGAGAACTCATCAAGTGTTCAACAAAAATAAATGGAGTATTTGTTAGTTTGTGTTGTATCGTATCCTTAAAAAATATTGTTGAAAAGATATATATTTTTAAAATATCAAAAAACTATCTTAAGTAATGATGTCTCGTTAGTAAAAATATTGAGTTGCATTATATATTACATTGTTGTAATTGGGAATAATATAAGGTAAAGTTTCACTGAGGAGCATAAAATTCAGTGAATGACAAAATGTTAATGGTCAAATGCTGAGTAAAATTAATTTCAAATTAATGCAAATAAACTACCATCATTTTATCATTCAATATTTATAATTCTTGATCTATTTTATGAGTCAAGTTTTCGTAAAGAAAGTACGTTTCACAACACTATTTCTAAATTAAAGTGACTTAGTGTCAGGCACATAAAATTATTTGATTTGTCATAAACGAAGAATTTATCAACTATTTTTTGTTTGTATGAAATATACTTCAATCATTTTAAATAAAGACAAAATTTTTTATATCATTTTTTATTCAGTCAAAAATCGATCTATCTCTCTAAGACTTGACTACGTTAAAGGCTAATACATCCATCAGTGATTCATACCTCTATGTAATCTAATTTATATCTGAAAGAATTAATAGATTTTAATTAATCCAAACATGAAGCAATTCGTCAAAAGAATTTCTTCATGAAAGTTCTAAAGAAGTAATATTTTCAAGCCAATTTACAGAGATAATATTTATGGAAGATATCATCTTATTTATATTTAAACAAGAAGATATAAAATATAAAATAAAAATTACAATTTGAAACAAAACATTTTATTTTTGCAGTTTACAAGTTTAGATGGAAAACCAATTATCGTCACAAATATAATTTAGAAAAATAAATTATTTGCACTTTAGTATCTTAAACATCAGAATTAGATTCTAAAAATTTTAATTCCGGAAATGAAAATAAATTTTGGAAGTCCTCAAATAAAACTTAGTATATCTATCAAAAAATCCTTGCAGTCTTTAAATTTTTTTGAGTTTTCATTCTTTAAAATAATTTACGGGTGCTTTGGAAGAGTTTTTTTTATTGCTGTATTCCTTTCTTTACGAGCTTGCTCAGTTTCTTTAAGGTCTGCACGTGATTGTGATCCAGATCCAGAAGAAGTTGCGATACTGGCATTTCTTGCCACGATAGCATTTCGTTGCTGCGCTGATGATATATAAGGTGACGCAATTGAAGAATTACGGATAATACCGCTACTATTGTGAACACTACCGACATTAACTTGAGGAGCTGCACTGCTTGTTGGCATTTCTCTTATGAAGTCTGCTGTGACAATATTGCGCTTGCGATGGTTTGTACCCAAAGGTGGGAATGCTTCAATAAGTACCTTCTCCTTAGGTGGTTGCTTTTTCTGTATATTTAAGACTGGATTGGAAGTTGACCTTTTATTCAATTGTGGAAAATCGATTTCACTTTTAATATTAACAGCATTATTAGTGGTGCGTTTCGAAGTGCTCGGTTCAGGACCGATATCATTATTACGATTTTGGTTACGTCTGTCGCCTTGGCGTGTTGACACAAATAAATTTTCTAGTACTACTTTTTGTGCCTCAATTGAGGCACTTGCAACCTCTTCACCATGCTTTAAACTTTTGTGAATCTTAAAATCGATTTCGCTTCGAAACGCATTGACAAACTCACAATTGGCGCAATCGCCTATTTCGCAAAGATAATGCTGTGTACGGAAATGTTTTGCCAATTCAGTATAATTAGCATAGAAATCAGGAGTTTCACAAAAATGGCAAGAATAATGCCTTTGTTTCATATGCTGGTATATCTCATCTTTATCAAGAAAATTCCGACGACAAAACTTACATATTGGATGACCACGTTGCGACGCGTCATTCGCATCGCCGCTCTTAATATGTTCTTTCAGCTCAGATTTTGTATAACATCTGCGTTCAAACGAGAATAATTTTAAGCTTTCCGTACAGATTTCACAAAAGTGAAGGTTGTGCATTCTATTCATATGACTTTCAAGGCTTATGAAACATCTGAACGCACCACATTTACATTTTGGACAGCGATGTTCCAAAAGACGAAAGTACTCCTTTCTAACGGTAACATCAACAAATTTTATACAATATTCCCGGTCATAACTTGTACTTGGACCACGATCGGCTTCGAGTTGTTGAAAGGGCAGTTTATATTTACAAAAAATGACTTTGAGTAAATCGCATCTACACACTGGACAGGTCCTTTCCTTGCATATAACGCGCAGTCGGGTTGAACACTCAAAACATATTGAATGATCACAAGAGCCAATCGCAAAAATTGTGATTTTCTTACAACAAATACAGCACACAGTAGCCTCAATATTGGATTTTTGTTCCCCGTTGATGTCCTGACCTTCAGTCTTATCCAAACTTTCTGGAATGAGACTTTCTTTCTCACTCTTAACACTTATTTTATCAGTTGGACTCATCATAAAGATAAGTTTAAATATTTTCTTTTACTTAACTTTTGCAAAAAAAAAATTATTTAATACGAGATTTATAAATTTTTACTTCACTCTTTCTTTTTTCCTTAACGTTTCTATTATTACAGGAAGACAAACTTTACTCAACTTGTCAATCAATGAAAAAGTATTGCCATATAAAAAAAATTTGAATTATAAATTGAAAATGAAGTATAATTTTAAGAAGACTATATTGATTTTTCTAAATGAATTAAATCAGTTATTTTTATATTTATATAATCTATTTCAAACTTAGTCCAAATTTATACATGAATATTTACATGAATATACATGAATATAGATTACGATTCGGAAAAGATTCCATCATTTTGTGCCTGGAGTCAGTTGTTATATGGTTAACAGAGGATTGTACTTAAATAACATATTGATTATATGTTTACATATCAATTTGTTATTATTATTTTGATTACGATGTTTTGTGAAGTTTATTTTATGCTATATTAAAAGTAATGTGCTTAAATCGACAAACAGATAACAATACATGCAATTGTTCACACTACATCCGTCCAATATACACGTAAAGATCTGATAATGAGGTTCAGTAAGTCTACGTGTAAACATAGTTTAATTCATACTTATTGTATTAGTTCTTCTAATTACTTATTTATGTTATAATTATTTATTGTATCGTGCTTCCACTGCTGCTAAAACTACTTATGTTAATAAATAAGATTTGGTCGTTTCCATTGGCGTAAGGTGATTTAAACATGTGAAACAGCTTTTTTATAACATTTCAGACATAAAACATATGACAAATCTTTCAAATTTGGGTCATTTGTTGGAATTTGTCTTGTGGGAAATTTATCTTTAACAACAAATTTATAAAGTTTTTCAGTGTTATTATATTCCAAGTCTTGATATCATACTTTTACTGTATAATTTAGTTGTCGCACCAATTTAAAGCTATAGTAAAAAATTATAGAGCTCTGTTTTCGCAACAAACATTGATAAGCGAACACAGCTCTATAGACCTTTATATGCCAATCGTCTCTATGATAGTAGTAAAAGCATAAAAGGACAAATATGAAATGTATAGTATATTTTGACCGAGTAAAAATTCGCTGAAATTAAGGTTCATTAGTGAATAGAAAATAAAAGAGATATCTGCTTTGGTGCTATTATTTCGACTGCAACTGGACATACAAGCCAGACAAATACTTCCAACTCTAACAATTTTCCGGCTAAATAAAAAACAGATATTAGAGCATCTGATGTGTAATTGCCCGCCTCTCTCGAGAACTCGACAAAAATACTTGGGGGCTTTCAGTTTTGCAGGACTGGAGTACATACCTGAGGTCTTTGTTAGAATCTTAATAAATTTTGCTAATGAAACGCGCATCCTAAGTGATGCATACAATCGCTAAAACAAGACTCTGATCTGGTATCGCAATGGACCTTAGTGGTCTACGCGTGGCCTTTTTGGCCTGCCAGCATAATCTAATGTAATCTAAAAAACAGATATTACCTTAAATTATTTTTATTTAATATTTCTCAACAATTTATATTTATAACAATCAATTTAAATTGTTTTGGTTTCAAGATTAAAAACAAAAATAAAAATAAAAATTAAAAATGAATAAAAAATAAAGAAAAACTAAAAGTAAAACTAAAAAAGTAAAAAGAAAAAGAAAATATCAAAAATAATATTAGGAATGTAAAATAAAAAATAAAAATGAAAAATAATAATAAAAAAATAAAATATAAAAGTAAAAATGAAAACGAATAATAAGAAATAAAAATAAAAGTAAATAAAAAAAACAACAAATACATACGAAAAAATACTATTATTATTGTTAATAACAATAAAAATAAAAAATAAAGATTAAAAATGAAAATAAATAAATAAAAAATAAAAAAGAAGGTATGCAATTAACAGAAATTATAAAAGAAAATTTAAATAAAAATAAATTAATAACATAAACAAACAAAATATTAATATTAAGCCGCAATCTATAGGATCTATCATACTAGAGAGATTCATCCTAAACTGACCCTGACCAACATTAACGTTATTCAAAATCCAATTTTTCTTTATCTTCAAGGGATAGTACAAGTTTTGGTGTACATTATATTATTAATATTATTAGAAAAGACTATTCGTAAGACCATCGTATTAAAAATAAGTGTCCCAATCTAACGTTTCCAACTCTTTACAAACTGATAAAGTTAATATCTTGATTTTAGTTAGTAGACCTCATTTGGTGAGGGTATTGCACCCAATGTTAAGTACTTTCAGAAAACGACCACTTAAAATAGGTTAACAATTTAATTTGTGTTTTTTCAGAATTTGAAGATGTTAGGTCCTTTTTTGCTTCTTAAAATAATTATATCAGATCAAAGTATTGTTTATATGTCACACATCAGTGACACATATACAATTGTTTATCTAGTGTAAATCTTCTGAGTGATATTAACTATAAGAATCGATTCAATATTTATTAACTTTGTTCAATTTTTTAATAAAAATTTTTTACTTGTGATTTTTATAGTCTCATAAAGAAAGATATTTGAGTTCGAATAATCTAATTTATTTAAGGTACTTAATCTTTCTCTAGAACTCTGGCATCATATGAGTTCTAATTGGCTAAATACCTTACTCATATGTTGCTCATATTAAAGAAAAAAGAGAAAAAAAAAAAAAAAAGACGTTTATGTATATCACAAAAAAAATTTCTTATAGAAAATTAAATAAAGTTATTGAATGTTAAATAGAGTTTTTGAGTTCATTTCAAATTATCACTCAAAATCTTTATGACTGGTTTCATTTTATGAATATTAATTCTTATATATTTTTTATATATCAAATATATACACTTGTGACTAATGACTTCTTCTTCAATATTTCGCCCAGTTATAATTGTTATGAGAACTTCTGAAGATATAATATATTTACAGAATAGTATTGAAATTTAACATTTAAAAATAAAAACATAATTAATTAATTCTATTAATCTATAGCCGATTTATGATTTCGTTCTAATATAAACACAGCAACTGAATTTGTTAATAATACTTTCATAGCCAAGCAACAAAACTCATAAAAGTCAAGCTGACTCTGAGCTTCAAATTTGGCAGGACCTGAGTTCGATTCCTGATACTTGCTGTCTCAAAACAAAAAAATTATTTACGAATAATTAAATATAATAATTATTTCCAAGACCACTGATGATGGGTATTTGGCAATACTCGAGACAGCTGTATGGTCAGCCAAAAATTCAATTAATTAAAATAACATGAAAATGAATTTTCGTTGTTCTAGTTCACTACTGTTCGAAAATTCTCTTTATTAAATCCTTTTATGTATATATTATATATATTGATATACCTATGTCTTAACAACTCCATTTGAAAATTTCAAGTTCCTATATATTAAAGAGCCTTTAATATAATAATGTGTTGGAACACATGAAAATATTGCCACTTGAATTTTTTATGTTGTTCAAATATATGAACACGTCTTATTGTATTATAATATTATAGTTTATTATTATAAATCTGTTATCACCTAAATTTCTAGAATTATTAATTTCTAGAACATTGTAACATTTTTGAATATCTAATTATCTGTATCTAATTATGTTAATATATTTGTAAAGAGAATAGAAGGAAAAATTCCAAGTACCGGGACTTCTGACCCTTTTTTTAACCTTTTATGAAATGTAATTAAAAATAATACAGTTCACTAAAATTAGCGATAACAGACAACATATCTCTTCAACCTTGATAGTAAAATTAGTTAAGTTAGTTTTAAAGCAATTTTGAATATATAGAGAATCACGTTCTAAATCAAATCAGTCATTTCAAAATATTCACTCATTGTGCTTTAATAATTTAATAGTACATATGTCTTAAAACTTTTGAAAGTCATTCAGATAATATAAATGACACAGTTTTGTTATTTCCCAACTTCACGCCCATCACTTCTAATGGAAAAATAACGAAATATTTAATTAATCAAGTCATGAGAAAATATTTCATTTTGCAAATATTTGTCTAAATTGCAGAAATTTAATTGCGACTGGAAAAAATCAACGAAACTTTAAGGACTTTGAATGAAATATGAATCAGTTTGAAGTGCACACAAATAAAAAAGTGCTTGAATGTATCACAAGCACGTATAAAAAAATGAAAAACAAAAGAAAAGAAGACAAATCAATTTAGTTTGGCAATCAGAATCAGAATGTGTCACTTGTTGCAATTAATAACATCACTACTGCAACATGCAACATGCAGCACTCAATACGCAGTCAATACCTAAAACTCACATAATTGGAATCGCTGCTGCTGGTGCTGCTGCTGGTAGTGCTTCCGCTTCCGATCGTTATGACTGCCAGAGAATAAATCACTTAAACTTCACTTCACTGCCACTTCACGTGTTTTCAAATTCAATTTATGTTTTGCAAATATTTGTTATTTGTTTCCAAAACTGTATTCTATCTATTTTTTAAATATTTTTATAGTATTGAAATATAACAATACCACAATTTTCAAATAAATTTTTTTTTTTTTGTTTTATTTACTATTAAAATTTTTTTATATTTGCAATTAATTTGCGATGCCAAGGCAAGCAAAATTTAAATATTCAACTTAACACGTTTATCGTAATTAATTGCATTCACTTTCGCTACAAATTGTGTGCGAACTGCACTGTTTGAAATTCCTTTAACTACTTTAACAGAGACCGAAAGCGCATTTAACTCAAAATCGCCTTTAAACTTGCTTCCGAATGAAACGTTCGCTTAAACGTTGAAGAATAAATACTGCAGTTGGCCTGTAAATTGCGAGGCACGTTCACACAGTTCAATAGTCGCCGCTAAACTGTTTGCAAATCACTTCCACCGCCAAAGAAATACTTTTCCATCGTAGCGAACCTTCAATCCGAATCACAACATTACTGCCAAGATACAATTTCTCGTAACAGCAAGTGATTTCATTAACAGTTTGAT